TTTTCAATGCTGTGCCACAATGGCGACTTTAAAGAAAAACGTAGACCTTCATGTGTAGACGAAACAACGGTTACATTGCATTGTAGAGCAAAATGTTCCTGTAGGGAATTAAGGTTGTAACATTGAAAACAAAGTTACTAAAGAACAGGCACAGGACGTATACGTTTACAGTTCTAGAAAATGAACAAGATTGAAGAGAAGTATCCCTTTGGGGATCATAGATTAGAATTAAAAAACATAGGCTAAGATGAGATTAATAAAGTCAACGAAGTCAACGCAGGTTTCAGACTTGGTTTCGGGGCTTCAAATGAATAGGTTGAAGAATAGCTTTAAGGAGAATCATTTCCACCAATGTTAACCCTGGTATCTGAATTTAATATTAGGTTATTATCGTATGAACAAAGTATATCAATGCTCACTTCACAGAGAAACTTGAAAAATAGCGTTATTGGGCTCGTTTGATAAAACACTAGTTATATAAGTCTGAAATGTTATTCCAATGCCTCCTTGAGCGCTACCCAAAGCTAGTGTAGCGTATAAGAGTATAATAGTGCATTCAACTACCCTTATTTGAACTAGACACGTGACTAGACGAAGTCAAAATGGTGGAACTTTATCTGGTTTTATCACAAAGCGACCTGACAACATTTCCGACAATTTCCCTTTTCCACTCTTGCATATCGTCTGCTAGATAATGGATTTCTGTGTCCTATGATACTTCTCGCGCTTCTAATAAGCCTGGTCGTCTGCTTGTCGACACGAGACGAGGTTCTAACGACAAGATGGAGGCAAGATTGGAATTACTATGGAAATATAGAAATATAAACGATGATAGAAGGTTAATAAGAAGTAATTAACACTGGAGTTCATATTATCAATGTTATGTTTGTTTGTAGCAATCGATTTCTACTGATATTACACACCATATTGTATTCCCTGCTTTTTAATTGCTGCTGTCATATAACTTGTTCATAAACAACCGTCGGAAGGAAGGTAAGGTCATTTTTCTTAACATGACACTGTAATGTCATTTAATCTGTCTTTGAAACGCTACGTTTATCTTTTGCGGAAGTCTTGATTTCTTGCGATTACGGATAATGTGTCAAAATACCACCAAGGTAAAATCTAGGATATGACAAGATGAAAATCAGGATTCACGGTATGGTACCAATGTACCACTGTCTGCTAGGCGATTAGGGGCTATGGGTTCCATCCTTTCCCACGGTTTGAATTCTTATGTTACGCCCAGTGCTTCCAAATGTCGACCTGGTGTCGGCTTTTTCCCCCTTATACCAATGTTGAAACTTTGTACTTGTCAATGTTCGCGATTCAGTCTTTTTAAATTTCTTCAACACAACATAATCAGATTTTGCTACAGGAATGGATAGGGTAAACTGCTGTTAAGATTCATCTTGATTCATCGAGTATGACACAATGATGTTAAGAGCTGTATTTTAACAAGATCGTTGCGTGGTCAAAATTGAACAGTGACGGAGGTAGCACAATCTTATAAAAACTAAATTACGATTTTGTTTCATTTTTTCTGTCATTTTTCGTGTGCATTGTGGGAAAACAAAACCAGTAGACCAATATCACAACTTCAATTTTCGACGATTCGTCCTTGTTATCAAGAAACGGAACCCACAGGACACACTTTGATGGTTAAGAATAACGCCATTTGATTGGGGCAGTAGAAAAATGGTTAGATTACAATGAAGGCGAAAAATATCAGGAAAACCGAAACGAAATTGTGATCTAATTTTAATTTAATTGGAAGAAGCTCAATGAGGTTATTGGTCCTAAAAAGAAGTTCATTGTCCTTGTGAATCAAGGGTATCAATTCGATTAACTCGACCCATTTTATTAATCAAGATGGTTGATACATAGGCATGGTAAAAATCTATATTGACCCAAGTGTATCCATCATATCACTGACATAATGATTATGTTGACTGTTTATTCACTTATTATTTAGTATGTCAAATATAAAAGGGGAAATAAAATTAAAAGTTCCTAAAAAGGGATAGAAATGCCCATTCTTTATTGTTCTTGATTACTGAAAATCTTATAGCATTCGGCAATCCTCGACAGATTCCGTAAAGCTAAATTTGTCTCGGTTCAAACAGCTTCCGTGAAAGTTACGCAAACCAAAAACTATGTAAGATCTAAAATGATAATAAAATGCATAATTAGATATCATATTAAGCATTAAATACATTATGTAAGAGTCAGAATTAGCTCCCAACGTCTATGACTTTAAGGACTATATTAAAGTCGCAATATTACTATCACTTAACAAATCACTGCTATATACTGGAAGTACAGAGCCTCGCCGGAGAAGACACAACGGAATTCACTATTCGTTACCGAGTCAGATTCAGCTTTACGGATACTGCCGAAGATTTCCGAATGGTCTCGGTAATGAATGGTAGATTTCGTTGTGTCTTTTAGGGCGAGACATTTCACATTTATTTGTCAAGTGATAGTAATATTGCAACCTAGATATATTATAGTCCCTAGCTCTAGGGATAAGGCGACAATTCAGAAGATTCATGAACTACCAGCCACTGATGTTTAAACCAGAATCAGTGTTCGCATAATAATCTGGACATAGTTCCGGTAAACAATGGCTGCCATTCATTACCGTGAAGAAGCACAAAGGAGCGCCAGCAGAATAATCACGGTAGACCGTTTGCGTTTAGTTGTGACAAAAGTACGTTTGTTACAAAAGACCATCATGGTATAAAAAATCAGCTGGGTTAGTTTTTCTGCTGTTCGTGAGCACGTTTGAAATTTGAAATTCTTGAAGTTCCGCCATATATAGGAAACAAATGTATGGAATAGAAAGTGAAATATCTAGTTTGAAGGAATAAATTGAATGAATTATGCAAATTATGAAACATTGGTGTAGTTCCAGTGTCCCGTGGCCTTCGATCATCGGTGATCTTAAATAATACAACCACAAATGGTTGCAAAATTCAAGACCAAAAACCAAAATTCCAAGAACGATTTCGGTCCTCTTCGGTTCAAGGGAACTGCTCGTATGTGTGTTTTGAACGTCCACGTGTACATCCATGTATATTGACATTAAAGGTTCTTTAAATTGCTTTGTGAGGAATTCTTGAGGAATTTGTTTTTGACTTCATAATTATATCCTGTAACTTCATTATCAACAGTCTATTTCTGTTTAACTTTTTTACTTTATATATCCCGAGCTTCGCTAATTTCATTACCGGGCCTACTATTCTCACTAAGTGAACAATGTTTTGAATTTAGGAACAATCATTAAGTTCAGAAAACTTTTCAACATTAGATGACTGATTTAAAATCTCAATTTAACGACAGTGCTTATGCACTCTGTTTTCAAGGTATATTCAATCATATTTGAGTAGTAAATGGTATAGCTAATCCGAGGAAGATCAAGGACCAGAGGTTTAGCTAAGGGCCAGGTGGTAGAAAGGATCTAAAGTGAACCGAAGATGTTTTTTCTTGTCCCTTCTCCCATCAAAAAAGATAATTCTCGTGAACTTTTGGAAAGTTGAACTTAATAGAAATTTAAAGAATTACAGTCAGTTGGAAACCGGGATATTTTTCATCAGCATGTTGCTATTTCAGTCTTCTAAATGTCACACGTCTCCCTGTACGAAAGATATGATTAAGGTTACTTAAAAGTGAAGTTAAGTTGTGATCGAAAAAGGAAACCTTTGAAAGGTTGCCATTAACTTCAATACATGACGAAACGTGCATCCCCCCCAAAAAAAGTATGTCTGCTAGTATGATGCTTCAAATTCTCGCCTCAAGTTTAATGTCGTAAGTTGATTCAAAACGCTCCCAACTTATGGGTAACGCAAAGCATAATTTCGGTCAGAAATTCAGAATTCAAAAGGACCTCATAACAACATCCACTGTGCCAAAGGCTTTACGAAACTCTCAAAAAAATAAAGTTTTATAATCACCACAAATTAAGGAAAAGTAACAAGAAATGAGGCAATGCGTATATATCTAAAACGTAACATCTGTCTCTATCCCAGCCCCTGGTAGCTATTTGGACAGGTCGGAACAGAGGTCTAGGTCGGACTAGTATATACCATATGTGAGGTTTATAATAAGGCCATTAAGAGGTCGTACCGAGTGCCCATGGCTCTACTGAAGATTGCTGTGTGATCTTACTATACAATATTGTCTATATAAACCTTCTAAATATGTCACGAAAAGCAAATATTGATTATAAAACGCTGATAGTGACCAGCTAATCAACTCATGTGATAACAATGTTTGTCATTTACAACATAATATGTTCAGTGAATTGATATACTGTTATTAAAAAAATGTATTCGCAGTATTGCAGTTCATTGTACCGGTGGGTTCACAAAGCTATAAAAACATACATAAGGCGAAAAGCGCTATATTATGATTTGATTACGGAGGGAACACGGGACATCGCTTTATTGACTCACCCGAACGATTTTCACTTTTCATGTTTAGCCCTTCGACCTTTATAACTGACAGGGGAGAACCGGGTTAAAAAAGGGGTTTTTTTGCCGGGATTGGAAACCTGGGCTCGTAACAAAATAGGCGAATTAACGAGCGATAAAATAGCCACTATTAAATTGTTGTGTTACAGAGAAGTAGGAACACCAAGTATCAAGACAGCCTAGTTACATAAATACTTGTTGATTCGCCGTTGATTCGGGGGTTGATTTGGGTCTTGAATATACGTAATAAGTCTTCAAAAGTACTAAAAAAATTGCACAATACCTCCAGAAATACTTCAAACTAGGTTTTAACTTTCAAAAGCGGATTATTTTGGATTTGAAGACTCAAATTTTGAAGATGAACTATGGACACTTTAGCTTAGCTAAAACATGTTCATTTCTGAGGCTAAAGTATGATTGGTCAAAAGGAGTGCGAATATGTTCCATTAATGCATTATTTTCAAAAAATCATTAATTTATGTATCGATATATCAATCTATCTTTTTCAGACTGAAATAAACGATAATGGCTTCAAGCGTCCCAAGACAAGTTTCATACGACAACGAAATAGAGGTTATAACTGAACCGGAAGCTAATGAAGGTCATTTAACTGTGGCAGTAGAAGACGAACGTTCAAGTAGCTCGGTAAAATCTACTAGTCCTGAACAGAATATAGCATCACAGCCTCTCACTGGCGGGAAAAAAGTTGTGCGAACTTATTCCAAATCGCCCCATTACCTGCCTTTAGCTCTTATCGTTTGCGTTATCAACCTACCGTTTGGATGTTTAGCCGCCATGTTTTCGATACTCTCCATGAAACATGGACGTAAAGAATCGTCGAGGTCAGCCACGTACGCCAAATTGTCTTTATGGTTAAGTTTAGTGGGTATAGCTTGTTCTATAGTCGTTGGAATATTTATTACAGTGTATTATCTGGTAATAGTGCCAAATATTATCTCGTTAGAGGAAGAGCTTCAGACTTGAAAGAGACTTCAATGGCTTATTTTGAGTCTTTTCGACTTCGTGAAAGCATCGATTTCAAAATGGACGAAATGCGTATCATTCAATATTGTTCGTAAACACAGATCTCAAATGTTGATGTTTTCAATAATGCTGTTAAAAGTGGTGGTGTAATATTCAGTGTATATACCTTAGTGATAATTTTCTTTTGCATAATCGAAGACACAAGCCCTTTGTACGTTACATAAATTATCTGTTCCTCAAATTATTCAGTGCAATTGTTGTTTACATTCGGATGACTACAAGGACTAATTTTATCTTCAATAGATAAGAACTTCAATTGAAGAACCGTTCTCAAACCACTTGATTTGACTGTTATGTTAATGGTTACATTCTATCTCCGCGTCCGGACATAGAACGAAATATTTTACAACGGCGTGATATAAAAGGGAATATTGTTATATATTATATTTTTGCAAAAAAAATGGTTGTGATGTACAAACTAAGACATACATTATGACAATTTGCGAAACTGATTGTATTAATGTACAATACATTTTTCTGTATTTTTGTATTCTTGTGAGATGAATTTGTGCCGTATTTCCGTGTATTTATTTTGTTAACAAAAAAAGTATTCCAGTGAGCACAACGTTTTGACGCGTTTCTATTGAACAAGTCTAAATCTTTCATATAGAAAATATTACCAAATGAATTGGCATTCCTAATTTAGGCGACACCTTAATCGTTTATCTGGACTGACGGGTTCAAAAGTTAAGGGTAGTTGTACATTAACCCATGGATTTGACCTCTCACGGTCATCAGAGGTCAATTCTGGCGTCCCTCCGCATCGCATCTAAAGATAAATTTTATGGCGGAAGTTAACTGCTAGAATTTGCACGCTTTTCTCAAAAAGTGCACAATTTTCTTGCAAAGCCGATGTATATCAATATGCTAAAAGTTAAAGGAATTAATATGATTAACATAACACGAGTCATCATACACGTGGATCCTGGGTATATTATAATAAATAACAGTCAACAGTATATTAACACATAAATACATTAAATGTAGGACATAAATACAGATAACAAGTACAGGGTAGATGAAAAGAGATCGAGACGCTTCACGATTTGAAGCATCTTATTGATCCGTCACACATGATCAAAAGCAGATATCGACAAATTGACTTGTAACTGTGAATAATTGGATAGTTGCAGATTCATACCCCTCGACCAAAAACCAAATTATGCTTAAGTGGAATATGGGTAACACTCAAGCATATCAAAGATCCGCCACTGCCAACTAAATCAAATCATTTGTAACTGCGACCAATTGAATAGTAGTAGAATTTGACATTCGACGACCAGATGCAAATTATGTAGTAAGTTCAACATGAGCAACTTTCAACTTTCATTCAATTCCAAATTCCAAAAATTGTCTGATAATTCCGAATGAATAGATGAAAGGAATTTTTATGGCTTATAAGGGCTCACTACTGTGCCGTTGAAAAGAAATAGTTCACCTCTATTAAGTTTAAGATAGGCCGCAAAAGCACTCAGTCCACTTGGGCTGATTACCAACACATCGGCATTTAACATCATAAGTTGATCTACAATAGTCATTTGAAATGCCCAACAAGCTAGTTTGGTACCCCTGGCAGTATTATCAGGATTCAAAAAGGGGGCATAACTTCCGATATATCTTTTTCCCAATTTAGCAATGGCAGCTTTCCGAACGTCTGCGTGATCCGTTGCCACGTATATTCTTGAATATTTATATTTGTCTAAAAAATTCATAACAATATCCGTTGAGTTCAAACTTAAGGCCACTCTTTCATATGGCAAATACTTGCTTCGTCCGATACGAACGTGCGCAGTCACAAGATTTGCTCGATACCCGTCAATAAACATGGGTTTTGTAGCATTTAAAAGCTGATTTGTTATTCTGTCAGTTGGTATCATGAGACGAGACCACACTGCTTTGAATATCTTCACTTTATCACGCCAACTACCAAAGCCCTTTAAATAATCCGGCATGGCATTTCGATTATGATTCAGATAATACGTAAACATTGGACTGTTGGTTTTTACGTAAAGAACATCTATGTGTTGATGTGGCTTAAAATCTTTGTCTATTAAAACATCCACTCGATTCACTACATCTAAGACTTTGGAAGTTTTATTTCTAATTTCATTTTCGTCTAGAATCCAATTGATTTTATTTGGTTGATAAAATTGAGTTAAGTCGCAAGCTGACGTCATAACAACTTTGAACGTTCTATTTAAAATACACGCCCATACATAGGCTGTCACAATACCTCTTTGACGATCTCCCCATCCGCCACAGCGTCTATTTTTATCACATAGGTAAACTAAATACTTCAGATTCGTTGTATTTTGATTTTGCTTTGAGATTGTCTTTGGTTTTATCGTGCTCGAATATTTTGGTACTAACTTTACTTTTTTCTTTACTGGAGGTATCGGTGAGGTGGGTAAGCGCTTTGCCTTAAATTGCTTGGTTGCACTAGCGTGATATACCTCTTTTGGAGTAGGTAGCAGATGTTCTTTGTTTACCGATATGGATACATAATACTTGAATGATGGCCTGGATAACAAGACGATTGCGAGGATTGTAAGAACCCCTACAATTTTTAGAGTATTTCCTTTTGAGACCATTGTGTACCTGAAAAACAGAAAAAAATGTTACGTTTCCTGCTAGTTGGATTAAAGGCGTAATATATTGAAGTCCGCCAGATTTTAAACTAAATGGGGATTATTAAAGGGATTGAAAAGAGGTTTTTCTTAATTACTAGTATCGGGGACACTGATAGCATCAATTTGCACCATTCCAATTTTCGATCAGACGTCTGTGGTTCCTTTCATTCCTCTAGAACAAAGTGTTAAATGACGTCACTAATTGCAAAAATAATATGCTTTATCACTTAATGACCCTTCGCGATTAGTGACGCCATCAACAACTTAGTTTTAGAGGAATTGCAGGAACCAAAACAGCTAAAATGTTACTTTGTAAGAAGCATGATAATCAGAAATAGAAATAAAATAAATGGGGTTTCACCTCCTACTGTTCTGCAGCTGAATAGATTAATGAAAGCGGGCAACTCCATGCAGTATACAGTGAGGGAAGTTTCTCCAGGGGAGTGGTAATCCGAAGGTGTATTTTTAAAAGGTTCGACCCATGTCCATTCATTGAAAATAGTTCAACATTACTTACGTTATATATTTACTTAAGGAGTTTCCTTCACGAAACTGAATTGAATGTGGTTGTCTTTCTGATCACACCAATGTCAATAATCCATCTACAGAAAGCATTAGAAAGATAATATATCATACCAGATAATTTTATGCTTTAAGTGGGTTTCGATTTCCATACAAATGCTCAGCCTTATTGTACACGATTTCAAATTCCATTAACATCCAATTAAAAAATGTAGCCAATATTGCTTCCATAAACTACAATCCTATAAATCAGTGCTTCTCAACATGAAAGGAACATTCAGCCCAAGTGTCATATTGAACTATCTCGATTTGTGGAGTATGATTGTATATCCATTCATGGTTAATCGTTGAATACAATTTTTCGAGTGAAATACGTTTCACAATGACCGCTTTATTTTGGGAAAGAACAGATTTGAGGGGACTGATCTCACTGAGGTTGAGAAGCACTGATGTGTATCACACTCCCTGAGATTTCAATCATACACATAACCATGCTAAGTTTGGTCAAAATCTAGTCTTAACTGAAGCTTATTACGTGCGTAGGTCAATTTTGACCTATCTATTTTCTAAATCATGAAAAAATCACGAAAAAAGGACACATCCGAGATCTTATTTACATACATAAGCATTATGCTTTTTTCTATATCGCATATATATATTTTGTACTTCGTACCACTAAATCCACAATAAGAAATATTGTTTATAAAAATAAAATACATAAGCATACAAATTCCGTTAAAATCCAATCAAAATTGTAGTCTTTTTGGGTTAACAAGGGCAATAACTCAAGAAACAGTTAATCGGCAAAATACAAGTAAAGATTGATCAGACATCTCATTAGTATGCATAAAAGTACGATCAAAATTCTATGACAATGGTGATCAGACGGACAATCGGACTGTAGAAACATCAATAAACTTTCACACTATAATGTGGTCGTATAAATACAATCTTATTGTGATTCTCATAAATCGACAATTCATGCTTGAAGTTGGTTTTGTCGATCTGTATATAGGCTTTGTATACATGTATTTCGTTTTCCACACAAAGGCATTGATTGATATTACAATTGACCGTGTGAGTTGAATAAATTGATTGAATTGACAAGTATGAGCCATTGAATAAATCTGTATAACTATCGTCAAAGTAATCGAAAATCTTTTAAAGCCCGATTTTATACGAATGTCAGTCTTAATTGGTAAGGATAGCTCATTGAAAAAACGACTTTCGCTTCGAAACACCCCAGAAACATGATCAACGCTGTGGATTGAAGGTTATGTAGGACATAGGTATTCATTTATTTTCAGACTGGGCTATATCTAAATAAATATATTATGAGAATATCTTGTAATCCAATCGGCCTTGAAAGATCACTTATTATATTTATATGATATCTTACCAAAATTCAATCGACTTATCGTAAGAGGCAAGTAGAAGTAGCCTACATTATATGTGTCATATAATATTAACATAAGTATGCAAATTTTGTCCAAGATAGTCTGAAACATCTGTCTTTATTCCATCCTCTGATGAGTATTTTGGTAGTTATCGGAGTCAGAAAAACTAAGCTCTGTTTTGTGGGAATTTTCTGAACCTCCGAAAATGTGTTTTTAACGTAATACCAACTCATCTTTACGATTAGTATGGAGCATCGTCGTAACTTTCGTTCTGTTAGTAGTGACTCTGTGACACGCAGTTTTAAATGGCCGACCAGAGATCAGTTTTGTTTTTTAAAAACAGGATACGTGACTTAAATGATGTAGGAGGATAATGATTATATGACCGAACTACAAAAATACCCATCTCTCCAAATATATCTGGGCTTGGCGGATTGGATTTAAATAAATAATTATTTCGGAGGTGCGGAAAATTCACACAGAACAGGATGCTCGAGGAGACGATTTTTTTTTATATCAGCGCGTAGATTATTCAAGTTTGTACCAACAGCGTAAAATGGGTACTCAGTATTATAAATTGTAGAATATGCCCATTTTTTTACTAAAATGCTCCCACAAGTTGAAAAATTCTTTGATAATGTGCTGAACTTCGATCAACTATTACAGTTTAGTCTCAGAAAAGGGAATGTTTAAGTTAAGCTAATCAAATATACGAAACTGAGCATGGTTCTGAGATGGAGATATTCCCATGTAAGAGCTATACGTAGTTTCGTATGATGCTAATCAGTAATTCTTTTTCGTACTTCTGAAGACTATTTACATATATTCAAGACCCAAATCAACCAAAAATGGCGAATCTGTTCCTTTTGGACTATCGTATTACTACTCGATTGAAATACATTAATAAATAATAATGATAATATTGAATTTCATGACGGCGATTACTTACTAGATGCAGATAATCCCATAAACTGAATGTTACTCCTAACATAGCTAATATAAACGTTTAACATGTCTACATTTCCGCTGTGTTTATATCCAATAGCTCACCTGTCATTTACACGACACTCCTAACGTAGAGCTCTGTTTCACCAAGCCAACACGGTGTCTTTACTGGCAAATCAAGGTATAGATTCATTGTGCTCGGTCGTCAAGGACACATATCTCTCTCATCTATTTAGTTTGAAGTCGACTGCAATTATGATTATGGCCCACAATATGGGCACATATTTGTATGTAATAGGACCTTCTTGCAAATAGGCAGGGTAAATCTAAAGAATTTTTTCACGACTTAGCTGCGTTAGCGATTATTTGCACCGAAATTTAATGATTAGTCCTCGGACTATTGACAATTACTACAAGAAATCATTTCAAATACCCTAGATCATAAATATAATTTTGTAATTTTGATGAATAATTTGACCTTGAATTGAATGGCCGATTGAATACAAACCATAGAAAACTAAGCAATATGTGAAAGAAAAACCATTGTAAAGATTCGAACAACGATATTTCAGTCCATTAGTTTTAAATGATAATCAACAGCACTTAAGTTCAGTCTGTAACAATTTATCGGACGAACGCGGATGAACAGAAATATCTTTGCTCACTACAGCTTTCTTACTTTCGTCGGAAACTCTTGTTAACCGCGTCAAACCGGCCTGCGACCATTTGCGATCAGTGACTGGAAATGTACTAGGTCGCGGTCAAACGTGAGAAAATCCAGAAAGGTCTCCAAAAATTGCTTGAAAACAGTCGACCTCATACGGTGAGTTATGCGATCCTATTGCTTTCAAACATTTTTGCAGCGTCTTTGCCACACGTATACTGCCCTTTTATACCGCTCAAAGAGATGTTACAAGCTTGTCTGAAGGTCATGTCGATCCATTGGTGCTTTGTTTTATTATGATAAGAAAAATGTTGCAAACACCCGTTCCAAGAGAAATCCTTTCCTTGATGAAAATTAGCATCAAGTGATCAGATTAAGCATACCCTGCCTGAAACCACACTTGCAATTGCACATAAAATAGGGAGGCAAAACAAACCAAGTGTTATGGAAAATTATAGTATCATCTGATGACAACTCGACATATTAGGACACGCCACCTGCCTAAAGTTTAAAGTTTAAACAAAAATAATATCTGCGATGATATAGTAGAAACAGATATTTCATATTTTTCAATCAGTTCATGATGGTGTCCGTAAAATTGAAGGAAAGTTTTGAGAAGATTTGGTAAATAACCGTGTAGTAGTGGTTTAGATTTTAAATGCTTCACTGTTAAGAAAGAAACTTAGAATGGACATATAATTGCTCAAACTTGGCAACGTAGACCATTATATTCATCAGTAGACTTTCCGGTGTCACAAGTAAACGATAGAATCCCTGCATATGACGATAAATATTAGGTATAATATTAAGCTTTTTTCAATAATTAAGACTATCGGTATTACATTGAGGCAGTTAAATATAAGACTATCAATACTATATTGCTACTATTTTGAGGCAGTCAAATATAAGACTATCGGTATTATAATGAGGCAGTTAAATATAAGACTATCAATACTATATTGTTACTATTTTGAGGCAGTCAAATATAAGACTATCATTATATTGTAGCAGTCAAATATATAAAACTATTATTCAGGCAAATTTAAGACTACAATTTTTATATGGAAGCTAATATTTCAACCAAACTTGATAATATACGATTTATCATCAATAGTAATGAGAAAGTAACATATTAAATATAGTTGAAAAAAAAACATCTATCCATAAGAATTTATATGATAGGAAAGTAAACTAGAGGGCCCCCCTTTTGTACCGTTTGTTCGAAAGTAGGATTGCTAAGTTGTTTTACAGTCATTTGTGGTATCTGCATCGTACCAACCAGTTACTTATTTTGGAAACGGGTCATGCCATCTCCCACCCTCTGACTTGTGAGAGGTCTTTTTTTAAACGAAAATCAAGCCCTATATTTGATCAATATTGAACCATCTGGGTCCCAGATTTGCGGACTAGGGGTTTCGGCATTGCAGTGACATCTCTCAGTTTTGCCCCCCCCCCCCCCCCTCACCTCTTCTCTCCTACTTAAAGGCATTTTCGAGATACGCCCTTGGTGCCGAGGGAATCACATCTAGAGCGTATGTCCGTTCAATATTGATTTTGTCAACTTATGTTGTTTAACGCATGGGTTGCAGTTTAGATAGGTATCGTAAAACTTTGCATCTCTGTGTCCGTTGCCACTTTTTTCCTATTCTAAAATCTGCTGAAGCGCACAATACAATTAAATACCGCTTACCTAATGTCCAAGATCATTTATTTTGAACGTGTCATGCCGCCTTTCAACCTAAGTGTTGTTGCCTATTGATTTTTCATATTTCCGAGTCCTTATCGACCTAGAAAGATAGATAAATGTGATTGTTATTTACTACTTATTTCACGGCTCGATCAATAACTAAGAATTTAATAACATGACGTTATGATCAATGCTATCAATAAACAATGGTCGAGCCATTTCAGTGCTCTAATCCCCATTGATTACAATTAATTCATGTGTTCAATCACATGCAATATTGATCAAATTACTCGTTTATCCACAGAAATCTAGTAAGCCAGGCCCAAAAGTTGATAAATGTTAAGTGTTATTCAGAGACCAGCGCTCCTGTCAGTTTTTTATTTACTATATATTATTCATTAACACACCCACTTTACACACTTACTTCCCTGTGTTTAGTTCTCTTAATTGAATGATCTAAGTCCACAAATTTCAATATAACTATAAGTTAAAAGATAAGACTCTCGAAATTTGAGGCTTTATATCCATGTGTGTCCAGAATCATACGCGTTTGAATGTTAAACTCACGACTCTTGGAAATGAAAAGCCACTCGAAATTATTAGAAGTAGATATATAGAAGAAAATACCATATTTTACAAAATATTTTCGTGTATTATTTACGACGTTTAAGATAAAACGAAAAAAACACAAGGAAATATATTATGGTATAACAAACGTCTCTAATAACAAAGTACATAAAAGTTTCAACTCAATTTACACGTGTTGTCATGAGATGAAATGAAGAAGAGGGGGTAAACATGAGAGAGGAGTATATTGCAAACGGTAGGCAATAACAGAACAATGAAGCTAGTCCAATAAAAAAAAAAAATGATGCATCACAGAGGATAATGGATCAAGAGATGAAAGAAGATTATCGGATGAATGTAGGGCAACAGTCACACTTAAGTCGGTAAATATGTAAAATTTGAATTTTTATCCAACAGGATATCGTAAACCAATATGTTTTCAATTCATTTTTGAGTGGTGCAATAAAAAATATATCAAATAGGTATGTAGCAGCCTTGGCCCCAAGATCACATTTCACGTCTTTAATAATTCATAATTTTTAAGTCTATGGTAAATTTGGTTACTGTTTGAAGTGTATCAAAGCATTGTGATGAAAAACATAATTGATTTTAAAGACAACAGGATTTTGCCTCATAGAAAAAAGACCTTAGTTATGGCCCTGCATACGAATAATGTCTTCTAGTCATAGGCATAGTCCTTACCAAAATTATGATGACAATAAAGCGAAATTTGTTTTGAGAAGTTTTTTTTGATGTCCCGTAATTGGTAGAATAGGGAAAAGACTTTGGTTATTTCATAGCAGACAGTTTTACTTTATTGATGTAAGTAATTTCACCAAAGACTTGTTTTTATTAGGTTTTATATTTAATATAGCCACCTCAGTTAGAGTCTAACGACAGCCCTCTTAGACGTTCGTCAAATTAACAAATTTGACCTAACCCGATAAACATCGTGTCACAAATGCCAGCGCTCGGTAGAAATTCGATTTGACAAAAGTTCATGAGGGCTGTCGTTAGACGCTAACTGAAGTGGCTATTTTAAATATAAACGATAATAAAAATCGGAACGAAAGTTTAGTTAATTAAGACCATAGTTTTAAATGTAATAGAATCAATTGTTGAAAATTGGATTTTCAGAGAGACAACCTGCAATTAAAGCTATTTTTGAATACTCGTATGCACTGACTGAACATAATGTTCGTCAACTTGCTGTATGTTCTTGTTTGTATGTTGGTCGGTGTCATTTCATTTTTCGATCTCAGGCTGCGTCTAGTCACCAAAAACCAAAAACCACATTCCCATATAAAATAAGCCCTTTTGTACTGTACATTTTCTCAAGCCATGTTAAGCTCTCCTGTCAACCAGAAAAGCCACACACAAACAGTAGGGTTCAGAGTGTACACAATACGGGTCTCGATACACATACATAGGCTTGATTACCTTTTTTCAATACATGTTTATTACCATTGTTTGACCTTCATTTAGTTTCTAATGAAACAAATCATTGACCTATAAAACTCTTTTTATTAGTATATGTCCACCACTCTCGATTCTAGTTTAAAGGGTTATCATGATGCCCAATTTTATGAAAACTGTACACTAAGGCATGCTCCATCAATGACAGAAAATCAAGGATCATTCCTTTTAATAACATGTGTCAGCAAACATCACAATGACATGGAAAAAGTTCGGATTTAGTTAAGTGGAATTGCAAGAGCCACAGATGTCTGACTGAAAATTGTATTCGTGCAAATCCATGTTATCGACAGCCCCGTCATTTGGGTGGGGTCGGTGGGGGCTGGTCCTCAGCAAGTGAGAATTAAGCCCCAGCAAAACCTTCTTCATTGATTCATTTACAAATTACAGTGTCTTATACAAAATCAAAAGATATAGATTTTTATATTTTTGTACTTCAAAATTGTACAAAATTTGAGCCTCAGCATCAATTCATTCCTGGCGACGAGGCTGCTTATCGGTGTCCCAAATACGTAAATAGTTTTGAAAATCTCAGTGCAATCCATTTACATCCCTTTAAACACGATAATCATTCCCTTTTATGTGACTTTACTCAAATTGAAGATTTTTTCTCGCACTGGACTGAATGCACACCAATCTCACGACAATACGAACCAGCAGTACAAATGGTCAAGTCAAGCTAACCGGAGGTTAAATGTGATGCGAAAATGGGCGTTGCTATTTTTGTGATTATTCCATTTAATGCATTTGACGAAACCGTTGATTGGAGAGGAATATTCTGAGGCAAAAAAAGTAGGTTATTTTTGTACAAATCAAAAATCTGTTTTGTTTTGTAAAACAATGATTTTTAATATTTACGTCATCGACTATTCCTCGTACTTAAATGATTTCATTTCGTTGTATGAAATTAAGTATAATTTTAGCGCCATATGTTACTTCCGGATTACAGGTTGCTTACAACCCATATTAACGCCACTGGAAGAGTATTGTACTTACCAAATAATGAAACGATATAGGACTCACTCCACTAAAACATTTTATGCAAATGATTGTATAGGAATGTAGTCCAGGCTATTTTTAGAAATCTTCTTTCTCAGGCTATTTTTAGAAATCTTCTTTCTCTCCTTTTGGTGTTTTTGTATGCCTATTTTTGGGTAAAATTTGGTCTAGATTTGGAATTTCATGTCTGAAATTGCATTATCTTTCAGATTTGGTGAGATGATGAGAGACCTAAAAGCGGAAGGCTAATTCATAAAATAGTCGTTTTGTGTAGTGCCAAACTCTAGCGGATGAGTATAACCGGTAGTAGTCTACTTTCAATTTTAGTAGCTCAAAATTTTCATGGTCATCATATAATGAATTTTTTAGGAGACATTGAGAATTGGTCAGGCTTTCATTCGACATATTGGAAAGCTTTCAACGAGATTTCTGGAAAAAGTTATAGAAGGTTGAATTTCGTGTTTTAACATGGGAAGAGATGGCAAATGAATTAATGGAGTCCATATTATCATGTAAAGGGCAATAACTGTGAATTTCCTCTTTAAAATATCCAAATCTGAAAATAATATTATCCTCGACGACCTGTGATATCTAAATGACATATTCACATTATAAAATGTGTACCCTTTGACATTGATAATACTACCCCATCCCCAAAAATAAATAATGACCCGCTGAAAATTCTTTTCCATAAACCACATTTCCACATTATAAATTCGATTCACGGAATCTCGGTATTATTCAGGGCAAAATACGATGTGGTGGGACAGCAGATGATTACCGATAAAATGTAAATGATTAAGCATCCCTTGTTTCATCATTTTATTCGAAAATAGTTTGATATGTATGCGAGGTAGAGGTTTTGCACAAATAATGCCATTGGTCATAATGGATGATAAGGTATCACAGTAGTTCCGTTAAAACGATATATCTCTTCCGTGTTCGGATTTAGATATGCTGCATATGTACTTAATCCACTGGGGCTAGTCACTAACACGTCTGCATCTATCATCGCCAATTGATCCACGAGAGTCATTTCAAATGCCCAACAAGCTAGTTTGGTACCCCTGGCTGTATTATCAGGGTTCAAAAAGGGGGCATAACTCCCGATATATCTGTTGCCCAATTTAGCGATGGCAGCTTTTCGCACGTCTGCATGGTCTGTGGCTACGTATATTTTCGAATGTTTATATTTGTCTAAAAAGTTTAAAATAATATTTGTAGAATCTAAACTTAACACCACTCTTTCATAGGGCATGTATTTACTTCGTCCGATACGCACATGCGCAGTCACAAGATTTGCTCGACGTCCGCCAATAAACATAGGTTTTGTAGCATTTAAAAGTCGATTTTTTAATCTCTCTGTTGGCTTCATGAGACGAGACCACACTGTTTTAAAAAATTCCATTCGAAAATCCAAACCGTTTATTCCTTTTAGATAATCTGGCATGAGATTAATATTTTGGTTGAGGTAATAGAAAAATTTCGGATTATTAGTTTTTACGTAAAGAATATCTATGTGTTCATACGGTTTAAATTCTTCGTCCACTGAAATGGCATGTAAATTCATTACATCTATGACTTTAGAAGTTTTATTTTTAATTTCATTTTGGTCCAAAATCCAGTTGATTTTATTTGGCTGGTAAAATTGAGTCAAGTCGCATGATGACGTCATAACTATTTTATATGCCCGATTTAATAAACAAGACCATATGAACGCCGTCACAATACCTCTTTGACGATCTCCCCATCCGCCACAGCGTCTATTTTTATCACATAAATATACGAGGTATTTGATGTTGGTCGTAATTTCCTTTCCCTGATCTTCCACAGATGTTGTCCGTTCCTTCATTTTCGGGTTTCCATGATCTTCCAGAGTCGTTGTTGGTCCATTCAATTTCAGGTTTCTCTGATCTTCCACAGACGTTTTCGGTCCATTTATTTTCTGGTTTTTCTGATCTTCCACAGACGTTTTCGGTTCATTTATCTTCGGGTATTTAGGAACCAATTTAAATTTATTCCGTACAGTGGCCGTCCCATTGTCCTGATATAGCTCCTTAGGGATGGGTATCAAATTTGCCTTGATGACTGATAAATTCATATAATGTTTGAATGTTGGTCCCATAAGCAAGACAATGATGAGGATTATACCGATTCCAACATATTTCAGAATTGTTCCTTTAGAGACCATCATGGATCTGAAAAACACAAAAATGCATATTTTAGTCCAATCACCATTTACGAAAATGTACCGATTACAGACCGGAGTTTATATCCTAACTTGGACCTGGCCCGAGGACCAACATGAGCGCCCTCTGCAGTATTACAGTTTTCGAGAGCCAAAACACAACATTGACTTTGAATTATTTGTGATAAACCATAACATTTAATAGTGGCTTTCTTCCTTAAGTTACATGATCACCCTTCAATCAGATGAGTGCAAGTCTTCGACGAAACAAAGATGGTTTGCAAATTGGATTTCGGGGAAGGGAGGGTTTGATTCTCCCAAATGTACAGGCCTAGGGTGGAGCAGACACTTTATTTAGAAATTAGGATTAAGGGTCTTGATATTGGGTTTTCTTCTGTTCTTATTCTGATCTGAAATTAGAAAATGGTATTACTAAACGAGGAAGTATGACAAATAGGGGTGTGGTTTGGACACGATGAGCTTCAATATGATAATTAATAATTTATTTATCCTTCAAGGGCATAAAAGATGAATACATTCTTCTAGAATATAGTTCATTTGTAACGTTTAATTCTCACACCGTCATCAGATAAAGAATCATGAACATATATATGTATAACGATAACAATAATAAAAACAAAGAGAAAAGTTGAAGACATGCCAGAGGTTTAATGCAAGGAAGATCAAACAGATAATAATAAGGCAAATAAAAATATAATGATCGATTAACGAAGGGAGACATGCTACCGACTGGGTGGTTCGGTTACCAAAATGTAATGTCCCACATTCTAAGTAGTGGGTATTCTTGGTCTCTGTTAAATGCAGGCTACATTCTTATCATCGTTTTCAGTAATCAAATCTAAGCAATTCATATCATCTACTACCGACTCATTCGTCATTTCTCGACAGTTTCCGTAAGCTGAATCTGACTCGGTTATGAATTTTGAATTCCGTTGTGTGTTCTTTGGCGAGACTCTTTACTTCCGGTATTTAGCAGTGATTGGTTTAGTGATAGTAATATTGCGACCTAAATGTAGTTCTTAAAATTTAGAGACTTTGGGAGATAATTCTGATACTTACACATACATTTAATACTATTGGTTCACCAATTATACATTTTATTATCAGTTTGAATACATATCTTACGATTAATTTGTTTTCAATGACTTTGTTTACAAACACTTGAAGTTATGAACGACCAGCCTCTAACATTTAAATTACCAGAATCACGTGATCACGTGACATAATTCCGTTAAAAAAATTCATTACCGTGATGTGATTGCAGAGCGCCAGTTTAACTTTCAAAGAGACCGTTTGCTACCGGCCTAGAAAATTTGTGATATATGAAAAGATTGAATTTGATAATCAGTAAACCATATGCCAAAATATTATAGATGTAATTATACGAGATCTACCAGCTGCGAGAAATGAGAACTCTTTAATGTTAGAGTTAATAAATTTAATCTAGTTTCGTAAAGTAACACCAAAATTTATATCTTGTTTATACCACTGATATTTTAAAGTCTATAGAAAAACAACCAATTTTCTCTTCAATAAACGGCATTAGCAGGGGGTAACATTTCTATTTCGAAATGCTTTGACGTTAATGAACGGAATTCTAGAATTGTACTCTGTAGCTTAAAGGGATAGTAAAGAGGTTTTCTGAAAAAAATATGTGTATGGCAACACTGATAACATCAATTTGCACCATTCCTATTTTCAATCAGACGTCTGCAATATCTACAATTCCACTACCACCAAGTGTTTAATGACGTCACTAACGTTAGGTCATTATCAATAGCAGCTTTTGCGAAAGTTACGGTATAATAGTAGAATTACAGGAACCACTGACGTCTGATTGAAATTGGAATGGTGCAAATTGATGGTAACAGTGTCCCCGATATACATGAAAAGTTTTGAAAACCTTTTTACAATCTCTTTAATTTCAGCCATAAATTGAGAAAGTCAAGCCATCAATATAATTATCAAGAAATATCTTCTTGAATCGTAAAAATAATATATTTATGAATTTAGTGAGAAACCACTGTTTCAGATATGTATAAATAAACCGCGTTTTGAAAACGTAGCAAATATACCATAATTTGTATTGATAACTTCGATTCACTAAAATACCCAAATAATAATGCTATGTGCACTCTCGAAAGATGACAAGGATACGAGTTGAAATACGCAATCGCAGAGTGGCACTAGGGTTGTGCGTAAACTGTATTAATAAACTTACCGCTTTGAGACAATAATATCTCAGCGTCTTACCTTAGGTGTGTAATTTGTCCGATTATTCTTATGTTAATTGGAACAGAGATAATCTTCAGATGACATTGCGTAGGCCTAACTATTAAAACAGAATTTCTTAACTCTACATTGGAAATAAACGCACTTTCCTCTGAGAAACGAAAATATTGACAAGATTTCGACTGAAGATTGGCATCTGTCAAAACAAACCTCAAAGGATATTACGTGCCAATGTTAGAATTTTTATCAATGCCAAGTCAATCAAAGACTATCGTTAAATGGAGAAAAATGTATTCCAATTTAATTATAAAAATAAACGGTTTACCAAAAAATGTAATCAAACACTAGCTCTGTTTCTTATCATTATTTTTAATTTTTTTAGCAATGTTCTAAGAAATGAAATATTTTAAAATACTTTAAACGTAACACCAATACACAAGAAGTTTTTTTAAGTTACTGCTAATATACGACGGTTCTTCATTCCATTTTCGGGAATAAGAATACTGCGTGAACAGTGACACAAAAACGTACAAAAGTGTGAAATTGTATATTATTTGTTTATTAAGTTTTTCCTAATAAAAGAGTCTTTGTAAAAAGACTTCTGTTTAAAGACTTTGGTTTATAAATCGTTTTTTGTTTTATCATTGTGAAATGAAACATCAGCTAGTGATGATAGTCTTACATAGACTTTGTATCTATTTCAGACAGACACTTATCATTTATTAAAGACGGGTTTCCCTTTTTTTTAATGTCAAATTAAGCAAACTATATGATTAATTGGCGTTTCTAATGAATTATTTTGTATTCTTAATCATATCATTATGTCCATATTGCATATAATTAAAAGTTTTAATATCATAAATCATAAATGTCCATGTATGTACAGTCTGGATAAACAAAAAAAAGACTTTTTGACGTTTCTTTATCGGTCATTCATTGGAATTCTGCTGATAATTCTATTCTAATTTAGCTCATTGAATTAATTATGGTCATTTAAGGCAAACTGGTATTTTTCATTGGTCATTAGAACAATTTCTATAAATAATAGCACTTTCATTTTCACTTTCATAAATGAAAATAAGGGAACCCATCTTTAAATTGCTTCAAAATATTTCATTAAAAAAGTTGTGCATATTTCACATCTGGTGAGGGTGTGTATTTCAAAATAGCTTAATATTTCTAACAGTCATTCCAAGAATGAAGATGGCGAAGCCGATTGTGTCAATCAACGAACGAAAACCAACTTTTTTATGTTTATTAAAGTAAAATGCTTCCAAAAAATTCAAGAATTAACTTCACGTAACAATATTCTGCATTTCATGTGCAGTACATTAAATAATAACTGAATTTCATGATATTTGCATCGCACTTTAATAGCAATGCACTTTAATGAAATGCACTTTAATGGCAATGCACTCTAAAAGCTATGCACTTTAATAGCAATACACTCTCAAAGCAATGCACTTAAATAGCAATGCACTTTAAAAGCAATACAGACTACCGGTATACGAGGCAATGCGGTGTTAATATTAATAAAAACATTGGCGAAGTACACTGAAAGGACCAAGAATACAACCTTGCTCCAGTTAACGCCAGAACTACAGAAGGTGGTTACGATCATTTGCTAAAGTGTTTGTACAACTAAAATAATGTTAATACCCCTAACATAAGAAAATAGGTTACTTACGCTTTTGTGGTGGAATTTGCAAGTATTCATTTCGATAAATTAATCCTTAAACATTCCCTTTCATTTGTCGATAATAACATCACTATGTGCTATTATTGACGTCTTATCTGGTACTCCGTTTAACGAGATAGCCAAAGTATAGAATTACATTTTAATGGTGGATTCCTGACCTAATTTATCTTTCAGCCTCTGAAATATGTTAAAAATAGTTCACATTGACAGCAAGCGACTGAGGGGAAGGAAAGGTAACAAAAATTTCGTTTTTTACGTAAATTCAACTACTGACAGACCCTCCATTGTTTCGCTTCAGATCGAATGAACAGAATTTCAGATTACTTACATTGTACGATTACCTCTTAGATTTAATTGCAATGTGACGCGTTGTTTCTCTGTAATTAGGCAAGATTTTGTGATATTCGATATGCAAGTGACCAGATGTAGGCCTATATATTAATTATTCATGGATGCATTACGTTCTTCTACTCAAAAGAAAGAATTGGCCTGTACGTACACAACTATCTTTCCTCGGCGATATTATATGCATCTAACATACGAGGTATGTGTTAAAATAGTTAGAAGAACTGTACTATGCTTAGCTGGCATTATATTTTGGCAATTTTCTGACATAAAAAGGAAACAAAGTTTTGGGTGACGTTTACCAACATACCAACTTAACAACTTTCAACTTCTTGTCCATTAGTAGTATTAGTATTCCTTGTATGGACCCACAGCATTGGAACGATTTCAATTCTGATAATTAGCTGGTAAAACAAATATTAAGAACGCTATATCCCTACATTATGGTCATGGTAATATTTTCCAATTTGTCAACCGGTTTTCGTCAATAATCGAAGGGTCGGACAAAGAATTCCGTCTTGTCCCCTTAAGGTTTTTAATATAGGCTATTTTAAAATTTCACGATATATTGCTGAGTCATAAACGGTAATAAGCGAACACCATGAATAGTAACGATTGGAGAATTCCTTTTAGAATGGAGAAGGAACTTTTTTCGAAATAAGATACTTATAAGAAGGTGTGGGTAATCAGCTGTTTTCGTGTTGTT